ACACACACACACACACACACACACACACACACACACATACACACACACACACACACACATACACACACACACACACACACACACAATTCCACCACCAGCACGACCGCCATGCATACGACCACCACGAATTCCGCCACGGCCGCCGCACGAACCATTACGAGCGCCGCAACAGCCGACTCAAGCCCCTCCTCGACCAGTTCCGCCACCTCGACTAACGTGCGTGTATGTGTGTGTATGTCTGTATCTGTCTCCCTCTGCGTGTGTCTGTTGGTGTCACAATACATCGGCAGCTGGTCTGCTGTTCTTCCCTTGGCGCTGATTGCTGGGGGTTCGTTTACATGGTGCAACACCACTTGATTGAAATCCAATATACACAATCCTTAAGAACACAGCCAATGGAAACCACACAGAGAGACACACAATACGCACACACACACACACACACACACACACATACATACACACATACACACGAGCACGTCCTGTTCACTCCTCGTCTGCGTCGTCGTCTTCGTCGTCGGTGTCTGGCGCCAGCAGCAGTGGGCCGTGGCCTGTTGTGCGGTGGAGGAGGGGAAGAGCGGCAGTGCGGACGGTGTGAGGGAAGGTGCATGAGAAGAAGCGTAGGAGTAGGAATTGTGGTGCAAACGCGCTCGCTTGTGAGCTTATGAACACACCACAATCAGCAACATCAACAAACACACAGAAGCAACAACACACACACACACACACGCACAAAAGCATTCACGGGCGCATGATTTGTTCACCTGCGAGCATGGAGCGGTATTTGTTTGCCTGCGGCTGCGACTCCTCATCATCGTCCATCTCCATCGATTGGCCCAATTCTCCGCTCTCCCGCGTGGCGTTGGTGTCGGTCGTGTCCTCCACGCCGGCCACAATGTCCTGGCTCACCTCCTCCTCCTTGCTCGCCGTCGTCACATCAACCACCATCGCATCCTCATCACCTCGCTGCTGCTGCTGCTGTTGTTGCTGTTGTTGCTGTTGTTGTGGGGTGTGTGGGGTGTGTGTGTCTGCGCCCGTGTCCATCGCCACCCGCCGCCGCGTTCGTCGCAGTCCCGCAGGCGACTCGCCAACCTGCACACACACACACACACACACACACACACATACACACACACACACACATACACACACACACACACACACACACACACACAACCATGTGCCGTGAGACAAGGCCACCGTCAGTAGATGGACGAAAGACGGCATATCACTCATCCCAGGCCAACCGCAAATCGCCAGCCCCAAGAAAATACACACACACACACACATCGACATACGGATGGCATGCTGAAGACGGGGCTGCACGGGTGGCTAAAGGCGGCTGGTGACGGCGCGTGCGCTGAGGAGGGCGGTGGTGGCGATGCAAGAAACGAGCCATCATGCAATGCCGCCGCTCGCGCAGACTGCAGCAGCGACGGCGTTGTTGCTGCTGCCGTTGCGCCAAGGCGGGTTGTTGGCGGCGTCTTGGGCGGGTACCGCTGCTGTTGTTGCTGTTGCTGTTGCTGTTGCTGTTGCTTTTGTTGCTGTTGCTGTTGTTGCTGTTGTTGAGTGTGTTCCTGATGCTGCTGAGGTTGCGCGTGCGTGTGTGCTGGTTCGCTGGCGGGCGTGACTGCGCGGGCAGCGGCCGGCGTCCCCGCTTGCGAAGCGCTGCGACTATGGTCACGATGATGGTGGTGGTGGGGATGGTGGTGGTGGTGGTGGGGGGGACGCGGTGTTGTGTGCATGGATGGCGCAGCACCGCCACGTGCAGGCGACGCTTGGTTCTCCTGCTGCTGCTGCTGCTGCTGCTGTGAGTGGTCGTGATGGTGGTGGTGGTGGTGGTGGTAGGGGCGGCGACGGCGGTGGTGGGAGTGGGTGTGCTGGTGCTGGGAGGCCGGCGTGCGCATTGGCGTCCGGATGGACGCCTGCGAGCTCATCTGTGTCGCGCGTGAGTCATCCTGCAGTGAACGAGACAACAATGGGGTGACGGAGTGAGGTATGGGAGAGGGGGGTCAGCGGAGCGAAAGCACGGGTGCATGCAAGCACAGAGAGAAAACGAAGGAAGGAAGGAAGGAAGGAAGGAAGGAAGGAAGGAGACAAATGCACACACACACACACACACACACACACACACACACACACACACACACACACACACACACACACACACACACACACATCTCTACCTCAATCTCTGGGGCAAGTGTGGCGAGGACGAAATCGAGCACAAACTCGCGGCCGTGCGCCTTGAAGATGAGCGGGTCGCCGGGGCCGTCAAAGTGCATCAGCATCAGCTGGTGGAGAAGGAAGGGGGTGAGAAGGGGTGAGAAGGGGATGAGCATCAATTCACTATACTTCGCAATGCGCACACACACACACACACACTCACACACGTGCATACGCACACACATGTGCACACACCTCGCCGGCCTTCTCTGCAAAGGCGAGGAAGGCCTTGAGCTCCTTGAGGCAGAAGGTGATGGTGCACGGCTGCTTGATGTTGGCGGCCGCAAACTCTGCATAGTCGATGGTGAGCTCTGTTCGCAGCAGCTCGTTGTGGCCGGAGAGCGTGGGCTCTGTGGCGTTGCTCACGCTCATGGTGTGGCTGGACACATCGATGGAAATCTCCTCCAGGCCCGGCTGGAAGTTGAGCAAGCACTCCGACAGCACGTGCGCGGGGCCCTGCAGCACATTCTTGCACTGGTCCACCCGATACAGTGCCTGGCAGCACAACGCAGCAAAACAAGCAGGACAAAACAAGGAGGGGAGCGGGCACGAAGTCAACAACAACACCACCAACAAAAACACCACCACGCAGCAGCAGCAGCAGCAGCAGCAGCCGCCGCAGCAGAAAACAGGCAGACACATGGCGCGTGTGCACGGTGTGGCGTACGTTGAGCGGATCACAGTCGTCCATATTGAGCTGGTACGTCTTGCAGATGCCTGTTGAAACAGACCAGAACCGCGGGAGCTTGTCAGTCAACACGACAGCCCAAACTGCACTCAGCGACCACTCCCAAGACTGGCAAAAGCCCTACTTGACACCAGCCCCCAGCACCAACGCTAGCACCAACGCCAACGCCAACGTAAGCACCTACGCCAGTGTTGACATCACACAGGTCAGGGCACGCACCGTGGTGGCACTTGAGCTTGAAGACGATGGCCTCTCGCACTGGGTCCAGCGTGATGACGCAGTTGTCCACGTTCTTGTGCAGCGCGTTGAGGGATTTGAAGGCGCCAAGGCACGACTTGTTCAAGACCTTGCAGCGAATCACGGCAACGCTGTCGTCTTGCGTGTCCTGCGATGCGTTGTCGCCAGCGTTGCTGTTGCTGGTTCCCGCGCCACCTTGCTGCTGTTGCTCCACGCCACACAGCGCTGGATCTGGAGGCGTGAAGCTGGAGAAGAACGTGCGGGAGAAGACGACGCACGCAAACGCCGACCGTGACTGATTCACGCTGCGCAAGTCAAGCTGGCTCGGCGTGCCCTCCAGGTACAAGTCCTCCCCGACCTTGGACAGGCACTGGATCGCCCGCGCGAACACTGCACCACATCAAGAGTGTGCACACAAGCACAACAGTCAGTGGATGCGTGTGACTGTGTGTGGATATGCGACTCTGTGTGTGTGTGTGTGTGTGTGTGTGTGTGTGTGTGTGGGTGGGTGGGTGCGTGTGGATGCACCAAGCACTGCCACCACAGTCCCCACGCGGGCTCACCTTGCAGCTTATCGGCAGACAGCTTCACCTGCATCGTCGTTGTCTTCTTCTTTGGTGCGTTTGCTGCTGCTGCTGTATTGGGTGTTTGTGTCTTTCCCGCGCAAAAAACAGAACTGAGGCTTCGCTTAAACACGTTTTACCAGAAAACTGCCGACCACGACAGGCGACAAACAAAAATGTTCATGGTTATGTTGGGAAGAGAAAGGGGGCTTTGCTTGAGACAAATACATGCATCTGCACTGCACGCGGCCGAGCTTGCTCATCTGCGTGCCTTGTGCTTCTTGGCGTGCTCGAGGAAGTTCTGGTGGTTGTGCGGTGCATGGATGTAGTGAGGCGAAGGTGTGTGTGTGTGTGTGTGTGTGTGTGGAGGGGGGGGGGGG